AGTATGCTACACTCGGGCCTGGGGTTTCGTTTCCAGGACCCGAAGACAAAGTGGAGACTGGTCCCCGTCTCGGACAGTGGTGAATTCTGGCTGGTGACGGGGCCAAATCATCATCAGCCAGGATGGGGCACTGGAACGAACAGACAAGTGGTCTCATATAAGCTCGCAAATTACATTATGCCGCGTTACTTCGTATGGTGCAAATAGAGCGTTAGAGTATTATGTGGGACTCTGTGCTTCGGAACTCACCTTTACATGCTTCAATCCGATCCCAGAGTTTCATACGGTTGCTGTGATTGATGACGTTCATAAGCATGTGTTGATGATGATGTTGATGATAACAATGCCACCGTAGTCTCCGTGTTTACGTATCACGACGACTGTAACAATGAGGCTGCCACTGCTGCTGCGACTGCTACGACGACTGCTGCTGCTCGTGCTGTCGTGCTAGTGGCGAGTGTGTGAAGTCACACATGTCATGAAGACCTGCCAGGCGAGATGCTTTACCTGTCGAACTCAATCTGGAGCAGGCACGCGTTTTGGCGCGATCCGAATTGCCAGTGGCGCGTGATGGAGGTGGCGTATGGTCTGCAGCCGTTCATGCTGAGCCCGGCCGAAAATTGGATTGTGGGCGCTGAGGGTCACAGAAGCTACGAGGATTTCATGCTGATTTGGAAGGCAGCAAGATGCAGTTCCAGCACTGGGATTTGGGAATCTGTGGCAGATGCCAGTGGCGGTTAGAAATCCGAGCATCCGAGGGTCCTAGGGCTTGCTAGACTCGCAGAGTTCTCTCCGCGGCAGGTTGGCGGCACCCACATTCACAACTTCAACTACGACGGCAGGTGCCGCTGGCTGTTGAAGCCAGCATCGAATGGTGAATTTTGGCTCATCACTGGTTCGGAAGCAGACAACCCCAATGCAATGCTGTACCTAAAGAGTGGCAGCTTCTGGGTGCATTCGCCAGCCTGGCCCGATCCCAAGTGCACGTGGCTTGTTGTCTCCGCTGGTGATGGTGGCTTCTGGTTGGTGACGGCTCAGAACCATCACGATCCAAACCAGATGCTGTACATCAGTGATGGCCAATGGAAGCACACGGGCTTCTGGGAAGACCCTAAAACGAAGTTCCGATTCCTGCTCAATGGCTGAGTCGTTGGTCTGGCTTCTGGGTCGGGTTTAGAAAATGACCCTTCCGCTTCGTAGCGGCGTAGCTCTCACGGCAGCCGTTCAGACCTCGGCGATTTGGCATCGATCCTGTGCTCGTTTGTGGAAAAAAAGGAGCCGGATAGCATGCCGCTCGGTCCGCCGCAGGCTTCCGCTAGCACCCTTCCGACACCAGGCAACAGGACGACAATGCCCCTTCGGGCGGCGAGACCGAAAGTGTCGCTTCGCAGCAGCAACCTTTAAGCGCCTGCCGTGGTACTTCTAGTCTCGGCAACCCAGTAGGCTCCCCGTTCAAGGCCGGTGCTGCAAATCCTCGACTCATTGCGCTGGACAAGACGGGAAGCGACGAGAAAGCTGCATTCAACTGGATTTAGCATGCAGATCGCAGCTTCGAGTTGAGACGTTGAACAAGTCTCGGAGGAAGTTCGGGGTTGCATCACACTACAAATCTAAGTCTATGAGTCGGTGACTCTGACGAGCTTGTAGGCCGGAAG